GAGCGACGCGCTGTGACTGGTGCCTCCGCTGGCTTGGACAGAGGAGGGAGAGGGTGTCTTCCAGGAGCGCAGTGGCGGGACGCAGGAAGTCGTCGGGCAGGAGTGCAGCTCTGGGACCCTCGGTGGGGTGTTTTGCATTCCTTGCCCCACTGCTGTGTGATGATAGGTCTGCGTGGGTTTAACCCATTCCACTGTGGCCGTTTGTCCCAGCGACCACAGGGACAGATGTGATAATAAACTGCCAGGTGGCCACACCGGTGTCTTGCCCAGAGGGAGCGAGCTGAGGGCCCCGGACAGAAATGACCTTGGGTGTGGCAGTGGCCGGTGCCCCCTTATTTCTGAGCGTGACGGGGCATCGAACCCTGCCTGGTGGCCTGTGGGTAACCAGGTGTTCCAGGTGGGTGAGACCCCAGGCTCTGCTCCCACGGCTGCCTGTGTCTGGGCACCTGGCCAGGGTGAGGTCAGATGATGAGGCCTGGCCGAAGGCCCTCCCCTCCCACCTGCTGCTGTGTTCATTGTCGGCCTGTCCAGTTTGGACCTCTTTATTTGTCTTGGGCACACTGGGAAGTACCCATTAACCTGATGCTGAGCTGGTCTGGCTGAGGCCCAGCGCCTCCTTCACCTTCCGAGGACACACCAGCTGTGCTGTGAGGCCCGGGGGCTGCCTGATGCACCGGCCTACCTTCCTGCCCCCTCCCCAGTGCTGTCAGCAGTCAGGGCAGCGGGGGCAGCGGGGGCAGTGGGAGGCGGGCAGAGGGCCCGGGCGCCTGCCATTCTCCTGTGCTCTCCTTGCTGTCCTCGTCCCATTCAGCACTTTGGGGCCCTGCGAGCCCAGAGAACTGCAGGGTAGGAGGCCGGTGAGCCCCAGTGGCTGTGGGGTGCAGAGAGAGGAGCCTTCTATTCGGTGGGCGCTGGGATGGGTGGAGGGCGGTCAGAGCTGCGGGCCTCTGCTTGTGTTAGGCACCCAGGGGACTGCTGGTGAGGGCAGCGTTTTCCTGGAGGCAGCAGCCTGTCTTTGAGCCGCGCAGCCTGCGAGGTGCCCTGCGCCCTGCTGGCCATAGAGGTCACGTTGGGGCCCGGACTATTGGGAGAAGGCAAATTGTGCCTGTGGCGTCAGCACTGGTGCTGTAGGCGTGTGAAGCCTGCAGTGTACTTTAAACCCATGCCAGATTGCTAACCTAGATGGGTAATCGGCAGCAGGCCTGTCTGATACGGACTGGGCCACATGTGCATTGGCTGCTGACCCATGGTGAGGCGCAGCAGCCCCAGATGCCTTCCCAGGCGCCAGGACAGCTTCGGGGCTGTGTGCCTCATCAGGGAGGATGAAGGGAGGGGCTCTGGCCTGGAGGCGGGAAGGCCAGGGGCTTAGCCCCAGGCTTTTTTTGTGCAAAGGGAACCCTCAGCTCCTGCGCCCTGGACTTCCTCCCATTCCCTCCTCCTCAGGAAGAGGGGTGGGATGCTAGGAACTTTGTGGGGGCATCTGAGGCAGGCACATTCCTCCACAGTACCCTGGGGATGGCCACCTTGCAGACACCTGGCCTGAATAACAATGAGGGGGATGCTGAGGCCTGCCAGCCTCCCTTCCTGGAGGATGCTGGCTCCTGGGGAGCGGCTGGCTGAACCAGCGCTTCCTCCCGGTCTCGGTCACGGTCCTTGCGGCCGGGGCTGTGAGGAAGACTGTGCTGCTCGGATGGTAGTGCCCTCCGGGTTGGCCTTGGCTTCTGGTGAAAACTGAACTCTGGGGACAGTCCCTGAGGCTGCATGCTCTTGTTTTTATGCAGACATGTCGGGGATGGGGGTGCGGGGACTCCGAAGGCCTGGGGAAAGGGACTGCAGAGCCCTGAGTCCCAGGCTGAGATCCTCTGAGGTGTCACCCTTTATCTATCAGGGCAGCTCTTCTGATGTGAATGTCCCAGCAGCCCGTCCACCGTCACCCTAATACACTACTGTGCTGCTTCCACAGTGCGCGGTGGGAGTCTGCCTCAGCCCCTTCCGAGAGGAACATGTACGCCGAGGGCAGCTTCCACCCAGTGGCCCTGTGCCCGTGCCTCTCTGATCCTCTCTGTCCTCGACCCCTGGTACTTTCTTCCCTGACTTTCAAAATAGTGTTGTTCTTATCATAAAGTAAATATTTAGTGTAACAAAAATTGTATAGCACTTCAGTAAACTAGGCAGTTATTCTAAACCCTTTGCAAATATCAACTCCTTTAATTTAAATCCAACCAGCCTTGTGCACTGGGACAAACGGAGAGGTTAGGACATGGTCCTGAGGTCACACAGCAGGTCTGTTAAAGCCCTACCAGAACAGTCTCTGTTTGTGCTGCTCTCTGCTCCCTGGAAAGAAAACTAAAACAGCTGCTTCCATCACCCTGAAGAAATGCCCCAAGTCTTTCCAGAATCCGGCAGTGACGTAGCTAGATTGACTGTCCCATGGTAACTGGGTCACATTTTATCATTTTCTATCATTTGAGTGAGAGACACATTTGTAATGGTCCTGCCTATCTAATTTGCATCCTGTGCCTCTTTCCTCTGAAGATATTTATCATCTCATTGTCATCCCTTTGCTTTTGAGAACTTTGAGTTAATTACAGCTCACCACAGCAGACTCTGGACACTGTGGAGACCCAGTGCACCCTGGGTACTCGGGAGTGGCTGCCTCAGACTTCGGACCGCATGTGCAGCTGGGCGCCTGGCCCAGGGTCCCACCCGTGAGGGGTCCCCAGGCTTGCAGTGGCATGTGGCATGTTACGATGCATCACTGAAGTAGTCATTAGTAAGTCATGAAGCCAGCATTCTTAGTCCTTATTATTAAATAACAGAATGGAGTTCCTGCTGTCAGGTTAATTATTGGAGTCTCATTACTCATAATTATTGAAGTTGGGGTCGTACTGGGTGAGGGTGGGCCCTAAATCCAATGAATGGTATCGGAGGGAAGAGCAGTCTGTAGGAACACAAGGAAAAGGTCTAGTGACCGGAAAAGGCTGGGGACAGCTGAAGAGGAGAATGGAGCAATGCTCTGTAAGCCCAGGGATGCCAGGTCTGTAGCACTGGCTGGGAGCTGGGAAGATGCAGAAGGAGTCTTCCTCAGAGAGGGCACGGCCGCTGGCATGGGGTGTTGGGCATCTGGCCTCCAGAGCCGGGAGGCAATAACAGCCATGATCATAAGGACCAATTTGAAGCAGTTTGTCACAGCGGCCCAGGAAAGTAAGCCAGAGGCCAAAGCAGGCCCAGATTCCCTTTGCAGGGGAGCAGGAAGTGGGGGAGCAGGAAGTGAGGGAGCGGGCAGCTTGGTCTCTGCTGAGTGAAAGGGGTGCGGTGAGCTGTGGGAGTGGTCATTCCATTCCAGGGCCCTGGGAGGCAGCTCCTCCCTGGCCATGGCGGGGGTCCTGGGCAGATGTTCCACAGGGGCTGTGGGCTGCAGGCAGGCTCGCCTGGGATGCGGTGATGACTAGGTGTGAGGATGCGCATGCGGGCCCAGCACTCGCCCGAGAACGTCAGCCCTCTGCTGCCAGAGAGAGGGGCAGTGCTGCGGATGGCCCCCGCTTCCTGTTAGCTCGGGTGCTGCCTCGGGCACAGCTCCCTTCTGTCCTTCTGTGTCCAGCGGCTGCGAAGGTGAGGAAGCCCACAGGGTGAGGTGGGGCAGCAGTTCCCGTCCTCCTGGCCTGTCTTCCATGCCACATGTAAGAGGGTGCATGGGCTGCACCCTCTCCACTTTGTCTGCAAAGAAAAGGAAGGCGGGAGGGCGAGCAGGACGTGAGCTGTAGAGGGGTGGGATCTGCCAGGCCGGGCACCTCTGGGGTGCACAGGAGGGCGGGCTGGTAGCACCCCAGTGCATGCTTTGCCTCAGCCCCCGCTGTGGCCCTTCTGCTGATTGGATGCCCGGAGCCTTCTCACAGGTGGCAGAGGGCAGTTCCTGAAGGCCTTAGTCTACTATTTCCTGTTCTATGACCAAGTACCCGAGGTGGGTGACTTGTAAAGAACAGAGGCTCACAGGAGGCTGGGGAGCCCAGGAGCCAGGGCACCAGGCTCTGCCTTGAGTTTGTCCAGGGCCCCTTCCTGCACTGAGGCGTCATGGAGGGCGTCACCCCAGAGGACAGAAGCAGCTGCAGTCAGGTCTCCCTCTCCTTATAGAGCCACTGTGGCCCCTTGGGGCAGCACCCCGACCTCATCTAATTCGAATTATTCTCCAAAGGCTCCACCTCTAAACGCCGCTCACACATGTGTCTGGGAGTTAAGCTCCCACACAGGAGCTTCTGGGGAAGGTTTCAAGTCACAGCAACATGAAAACATAGTCAGATGGACAGTAGGGGAAGAGGGACCTTCCGCTTCCTCTACCACAGTTTCAGGTTTCCTCTGCCAGTGTGGATCCTTGCAGTGGAAGAGTGGTGGGGAGTATTCGGCTCCCTCCAGCCGAACAAAATCCTGCTCTCCAGATTAGGGACTCTGGTCTAAGAGATAGTTTTGGCTCCGTGGCCATTCCCCAAAGCAGGGAGGAACTACATCCTCCGGTCCTTAAGTTCTGGCTCCCACCCAGCCTGGTTCAGAGGAGGAAGCCAGGCAGACTCAGCTGAGGCACTGCTGGCCAGGCGCCGGGGGACGGCCAACCAGGGCTGTGTTTGCAAGCCTTGCTGCTAGTGGCCGGACTGCTGGAGTCACTTGTCCTTAGACAGAGCCTGGCAGGATCAGGTAAAGTGAGTGACTGCCCCTCAGAGTGGGCAGGACGTCTGTCAAGCAGGGAAATGACTGGGGTGCAGCTCTGGGTGTGTTTGGCCTGCAGCGAGGAACTGATCTTACCCAGAGAAGAGTATCGGCAAGTTCTAGCACCAGATGCTGATGGAAAAATGAACTCAGCCATCTCTAGTTTCTCTTCTGATTATATTAAAATATACACTCATTAAAAACGTCAAACCCACAGAAATGTAGCAATTAGAAGTGACTTTCCCACGTGCCATCCCCATCCATTGGCACAGAATCCCCACACCCTTGTTTTTTGTTGGCAGAGAATTTTCAAGGAGAATTGGAGAAGAACTGGAGAAGTCTTTCTGGGAATCCTAGCATGACCATTTCAGTTTCTTCAAGTCCTTTGGGGAGGAAAGTTCTGCCACCGTGGAGGACAGCATGGAGCTAGGAGGTTACAGAGATGTTTGTTGAAGTTATGTCCCTTGTGAGCTCAGTGCGTGTTCTTTTCCCCTCTGCTGTGCCCGGATTCAGATCTTCTGGGAACCCAGATGCAGGAGAGAGGCCGGGCTAGAAAAGCCCTGCTGTCCCCGACTGCTGCCGGCTACCCACTGCAGAAACCGCAGGCTCCTCCAGCCCAGGTCCTCCCCCTCCCTGCCCTCCCTTGCTAGTGTTGGCCTGCTGGTGTCCTGCCCAGGTTAGGTGAGGACAGGCAGCAGCTGGCAGGCATCCAGCCGGGAGCCCCAGTGCTGTCCATCCCAGGGCCTGGCCCTGCCTCTGGCCCCAGGGCAGGTCCTCCTGAGACCTTCAGAGAAAGTGTGGGCAGGCTCAGGCCACATGCCAGCTGTCTTTGCAGACATAGCAAGTGGTTCCCATGACACACACACCTGATTTTCTGCAGCTTGTTTACCTGCTAGGCACCCAGTGAGTGGGCATCTGAGTTACCCGAAGGGCGATACCTTGTTTCTGGTGCTGGGGATTAAAGTGAGGGAGTGCCGAGCGATATTCCCATGCCTTTTTGTCTTTTTTTTTTATAAGGGTCTCCTTCAATTGCTCAGGCTGGCCTTGAACTTGTGATCCTCCGGCCTCAGTCTCTGGAGTACAGATTACAGACGTGTGCTGCCACAGCTGGCAGACAACACTTTCTTATCCTTCATCGAATTGGAAAGGGAGGGGAAGAGCTGTGAAGCCCAGGGAACACGCTTCTCCTCCAGTGCACCCCTGGGTGCTGAGAAGGCAGGAGGGTAGCACGCACTTTCGTGTGAGCTGCTTGCCGGGCAGTGGTAACAAGAGCTAATATGTACTGAACATGTTCTCTGTGGGGGGACCTGCTGCGCACTTCGCACGGCTTTATCTGTGTCCTCCCGGCAGCCCCGTGAAGCGCAGTCGTCTCCCCCTTATCTACAGGCGATGCCTTCCAAACCCCTCAGTGTGTACTGGAAACTGCCACCAGGGCTGAACCCAGTGGTCACCACACTTGCCCTGTGCGCCCACTGCACTTTTGATAAAATTTACTAAACACTTTAACTACGGTAAGAGACTGACAACAGCAGCTCCTAACAGGACAGAACTGTTAGAACATTATGCTGTAATAAACATTTTTGAAAACTTCCAAGTTCTTTATTTTTGGCATTGCCCATTCAGTGTTTTCACACCGTCGTGGACCACGGGAGCTGAACCATGGAAGGTGAGGAGGTCAAGCAGAGGACCAGGGTTGGGTGACTGTTGATTTATGAGGAAGAAGGCAGAGCTGTGAAGCGTCAAGCAGCCTTCCTGGTGCACACAGTGAGCCGCGGAGCAGGGGCACAAGCATGCTCCTGAGATGCAGACGCGGGCCCTGGGCTCTCTGCTGCACCCTCCTCTCTGCCGTCTCCATGCTGGCGGTGTTCTCTGAAGGCTTTATGGCCAAGCACATAAAGTTGACCGAGTGGGTGCAAAGGCCCAGTGTGAACACAAACTGAGCCTGGCAGGCCGAGCAGCCGGGCACCTGGGCATGTGGCACCTGCAGCCGTGTGCCTCCTGTCTTCAGGCAGCTCCCGGCTGCCTGATGGAGAGGCTCGGGCATGCACACAGCTCAGCACACTTCACAGCTGGGAGGTGGAGAAAAGAAGACCTGTGTGCTGTGGAGCACCCAGTGCTGCACATTTCAGGGCGGTTCTGGCAGAGGGAGGAGACGATGACAGGCTTGGGATTTAAAGTGGATGATGTCCTCATGCTGTGGGGCACTGGGAAGGGACAGCAGGGGACTTGGCTGTGAGCCCATCACAAAGGGATGGTGACAAGATTGGAGGAGGCTCCAGGGCTTTGTGGGATGAGTAGAAGTTCACTGAGGTGGTGAGCAGACCCAGAAGAGGGTCAGTGACACATGCAGTGTGGCCAGAGTGCAGGTGGCCGTAACTGAAGTGGGGAAAGCTGAGGGGTCTAGGCTGGACAGTCAGTTTGCTTTCATCCCAGGCCCCCTCGTCAGCTGTGGGGCCAGTGTTACGGCTTGTCCCTGGGGTGGGCTGTGCTGAGGGGCCTGGCTCGGAGGCCTCAGTCCTCTCGGGCCTCCGTGAGTGACAGCCCAGGGCGTCACCGTGGCTGACTGACGGGGCTGGAGACAGGCCGTGCAGTTGGATGGGTGGGAACACCCTGTCTTCCCAGGAGTCGGGCTCCGCCCTCCAGCCCGGCCCGCCGGCCCTCACCTCCCTGGGCCTGGGGTGGTCCCCACGCCCTGCCTTCCTGGCACAGAGCCCAGCCACAGGCCGGCCCCAACCCGGATGTGTGCTGGGTTGCCCTGCCAGAGGAGGGCGCTGCCAGCCCTTGCGGTCTCTGTGGGTGCCTGAGTTTCTAGAGGAGGGTAGTGAAGAGAACTTTCTTCTTAGTCACATTGTTTGCTGTCCTGAGTGCTGAGAACTCAGTGCTAGCTCTGGCCTTGGCTCTGTCACCAGCTTCCTGCTGACAGCAGTAGTCACAGGTTGCCATCCGCCCTCCGCCTCTCCTACCCCAGCTCCATCTGTCCTCACCCCAGGCCTGAGATTCAAGAGTGTGGAGGGCCACAGAGGCAGCCACAGGGGGGCTTCTGGCTCCTGTCTCCCACCCCCTGCCCCTGCATCTCACACCAGAAACCTTTCCAAGTACAGTGGACCCCCGAAATTCACGGGGCCACGTCTCCAGAGCACCCGAGAATTGTGAAAAACTGCGAATTTCAGATATAATCAGAAAAATGGCTGTAAATGGCTATTCCTACAGTTCAACCCTCCCCCACAGTTATCTCATTTAAGTTAACAAAATACCGCATTAATAAACCTTAGAAGGTGAGGGCATTTTGCTGGCCTCTTCAGGATCTTAGTGCTCTAAGAAGAACAAAACTGAGAGCACTGGAGACAGCTAGGCGAGGTGCAGCAGACTGTTATGAGCGGGAATCTCACGCATCTTCGGAGATGGGTCACAGGGCAGCAGCCAATCAGCAGCGTGGAGAGCTGAACAATGCTCTCGATTGGCTACATGGAGGCGCCGAAAACCAACTACAGAAGAGATGTGAGGTTTCCACGAAGTTTCAGGGGTTTCCTTGAACAATTATTAGTTAGGTTCTAAGGAAAAATCCGTGAATCACTGAGGCCACAAACTGAACCGTGACTCTGGGGGCAGGTGTCTTCCTTTCCTCATCTGTAAAGCATGCATAGTCAAGGACTGCAGACTCAGAGACCTGCCTGCACCTGGCAGGTGATATATGCAGTGCTCAAAAAATACAGTGAATATTTAAATTTTTAAAATTACAGTAAAAGACACATTGCTGTTAATCCCCTTCAAAATCCTCTCCCTCACTTGGAACATACTTCTCCCATCATTCTTGGCACTTTCTGAAGCAGCTCTGGAGTCCTCTTTTGCAGGTGCCTTTAGTTGTGCTGTTGTGGATGCCTTGATGTCCTGAATGGATTCAGATCTTTACCCTTCATGGTCATTTTGACTCTGGGGCAAGCCAGAAGGGGCACAGTGCCAGATCCAGTGGATAAGCTGGATGAGGACCACTGTAATGTTTTATGAGCCTCCTTTTCCTTTGGATGGTACTTGGCAGCAGTATTCACTGTAGTTTTGATTACACCTCGTAAGGACACTCATGAAAGAGGACTTCCAGAACTGCTTCAGAAAGTGGCAAGAATGATGAGGTAAGTGTGTTAAAGCAAGGAGGAGTATTTTGAGGGCGATTAATGGCACTGTGTCCTTTACTGCAATATATTCTAAAATTTTAAACACAGCGTATTTTCTGATCAGCTCCTGCATGCTTTGTCATTCACTTGTCTTTTCTTTTCCTCTTTTCCATTTCCTTCCTCTTCTGGAAACCACTTCTCATTTCCACAACTTACAGTGCCTTCCTTTCCTTGGAGACAAAGGGATGCCTTAGCTTCTGCTGCCTCTGAGTTGGTGACACGGGGCGCCTGGTGAGCCTCAGCTATTCCCTGCCTGAGGCTTCCAGCCCCTGGTGCCCAGAGCAGCTCAGTGTCAGGAGCCGGCCAGCGTCCGGCATGCAGTGTGTGTGGGCCACTGTGGGCCTGCTGGTTCCTCTCTGGACACCACTGCCACCCACGGCATCTTGGTGCGTCTTCCAGGCTGGAGAGAGAGCTCTGCTCCCTGAGCAGCTACCCTCAGACTCCAGGTGTGTCCCGTGAGTTCTGCGATCCCTTGAGTTGTGAGGTGGGAGGTCCGTTGCGTGGACCCACCCAGGTCCACTGCTGTGGGTGGCCTTGGAGTCTGCCTGTCGGGGAGTCCTGGGCGAGTCTTGAGTCTTGAGACCCACACGGCACAAGTGCTGGGCCAGTGCAGGGTGCCCTCTTCCCTGCGTGCTGTCATTCAACTGCCATGCTTGCTACAGGGCCACGCAGGTCCCACGGAGCTCCGGGGCTCAAGCTCCCCAAGGCTGGGCTTTGTTTCCAGGGCAGATCTCAGCAGCTCTTGCAGTCTGAATCCTGCCGCCTGTTCCAGCTTGCTTTCCCCTTTTCTCCCTTCCTCGGGCAGTGTCAGGAGTGCGGCTTGCTCTCTCTCTCTCTTTCTCTCTCTCTCTCTCTCTCT